ATTTAATATTAAATTATTACAATTTGAAAAAAATAGGGGAGAAAAAGAATCACGATGGCTGCCTTCACAAAACGGTGCTAAACATAAAAAACATGATATATAAAGTTAAACTTTATTTTTATGTATCTTGCATTTTAGTTTAGTTTTCAATCCGCATTTTCTTAAAAAAAAGGGAAAATGATGTGCGCATGGGCGAAGCTGAAGAGTTTTATTTTGAAGGTTTGACCACTCGTTTCCGGATTGTGCCTCCATGTTTCTTTACAGCTCGGTTTCTTTCTCCGCGCCCGATAATCCAAACAAACAAACACGCACTTGCATTTCTTCATCCATAAACCCTTGTGAAACATTTATCAAACGCTTCCTCCTTCTCTTCGCGCATGCGCGGCAACTGTTGTGACTTTACGCTAAAAGCTGTGATGAATTATTAAATATCGTGACGTCATATCTGCTGTCCTCTGCTGAACTTCACTAATGGCTGTAAAGAGATTATTTAATGGCACAGAGTGGGTTTTACAGAAAACCAATAAAACATTAGGGATATTGTTGCATGAAGATAAAAAACAGCAGAGTTTTCAYATGAAAGTTAAATTTATCAAAGGCCTAAAGGATTTCCTAATAAGAATAAACATGGGTTAAAAGTCAGATTTCATCCTAACAAAGACTCTTAAGGGTTTAAAACATAATAGATGCTTAATTACATGTTGTTTTAAATGTATTATATTTTTCTAACATCGATTTATTTCTTCTCTGACTTCATATTTGCAGGTAATTAAAACCAAACTGTGAGATTAATCTGAATAAATAATAAATCAGCTGCAGTTTAAAGCTTGAACGCCACATTGTCCAGATCTGGCCCAGTTGTAGTTTGGTTTAAGTGGCCCAAATTTGTCAATGCCACAAATGGCCCAGTTGTTGTTTGGTTTACGTGACCCAAATCTGTCAATGCCACAAATGGCCCAGTTGTGGTTTGGTTTATGTGGCCCAAATCTGCCAATGCCACAACTGTCCAGGTTGTAGTTTGGTTTAAGTGGCCCAAATATGTCAATGCCACAACTGGCCCAGTTGTGGTTTGGTTTAAGTGGCCCAAATCTGCCAATGCCACAACTGGCCCAGTTGTAGTTTGGTGTATGTGGCCCAAATATGTCAATGCCACAACTGGCCCGGTTGTGGTTTGGTTTAAGTGGCCCAAATCTGCCAATGCCACAGCTGGCCCGGTTGTAGTTTGGTTTATGTTGCCCAAATCTGTCAATGCCACAAATGGCCCAGTTGTTTGGTTTACGTGACCCAAATCTGTCAATGCCACCCAAATCTGCCAATGCCACAACTGGCCCAGTTGTGGTTTGGTTTACATGACCCAAATCTGCCAATGCCACCAACTGGCCCAGTTGTGGTTTGGTTTACGTGACCCAAATCTGTCAATGCCACCCAAATCTGTCAATGCCACAAATGGCCCAGATGTGGTTTGGTTCATGTGGCCCAAATCTGCCAATGCCACCAACTGGCCCAGTTGTGGTTTGGTTTACGTGACCCAAATCTGTCAATGCCACCCAAATCTGTCAATGCCACAACTGGCCCAGTTGTGGTTTGGTTTACATGACCCAAATCTGCCAATGCCACCAACTGGCCCAGTTGTGGTTTGGTTAATGTGACCCAAATCTGTCAATGCCACAAATGGCCCAGTTGTGGTTTGGTTTATGTGGCCCAAATCTGCC